TGCAATAAATTTTCCTCTCAGGACGGCTTTCATTGCATCCCACAAATTCCGGTAAGTTGTATCTGCATTTTCATTTTCTTTTAGGTATTGTTTGATTTCTTCTTTAATTTCTTCTGTGACCCAGTGATTACTCAAGAGTGTGTTATTCAGTTTCCATGTGTTTGCGGGATTTTTGCAGTATCTTTTATCATTAATTTCTAATTTCAGAGCGCTATGATCTGATAACATGCAAGGGATGATTTCAACTCTTTTGCATTTGTTTAAATATATTCTGTGAGCCAATATATGGTCTATTTTAGAGAATGATCCATGTACTGCTGAGAAGAATATGTATTCTGATGTTGTTGGGTGGAACATTCTGTATATGTCTATCAAACCCATTTGTTCACAGGTGTGATTCAGTTCTGTTATTTCTCATTTTCTGTCTGGTTGATCTGTCCCTTGGTGTCAATGGCGTATTAAGGTCTCCTGTTACAATTGTGTTACTGATAATTTGAGTTTTCATTTCTGTTAATAGTTGTTTTATATAACTGGGTGCTCTGGAGTTTGGTGCGTATATATTTAAGATAGTTATCTCTTCCTCTTGGAGTTTTCCCCTTATGAGTATGTAGTGACCTTCTTTGTCCTTTATGGTCATTGTTGGTTTAAAGTTCATGTTGTCTGCAAACAGAATGGCTACTCCTGCCTTTTTTTGGATTCCTGCTGCATGAAGAATTGTTTTCCATCCTTTGACTTTCAGTCTGTGAGTATCCTTCTGGGTTAGATGGGTTTCTGGTAAACAGCATATGGTTGGATTTTGTTTCTTGATCCATTCTGCTAGTCTGTTTCTTTTGATTGGTGCATTGAAACCATTTACATCAATGGTTATTACTGTTAAATGCTGGTTTATTGTTGACATGTTATCTCTCTGCTGTTGCATCTTTATCTTTCTGTTCTGTTTAATTATCTGCTTTGCTTAGTGGTTTTTTCCTTTGTGTATCTAAACTGTCTTTCAATATTTTTTGCAGGGTTGGTTTGGTGTTCATGAAGTTCTTGAGTTGTTCTTTGTCATGGAAGTATCGTATTTCACCATCAATTTTGAATGATAGTTTTGCAGGATATATCAGTCTAGGTTGGAAATCATTTTGCTTTAGGATCTGGAATACTTCACTCCATGCGCTTGTTGACTTTATTGTTTGTGCTGAGAAGTCTGCTGTAATTCTGATAGGTTTTCCTTTATAAGTGATCTGTCTTTTCTCTCTGACAGCTTTTAATAATCTATTCTTGTGTTGGATTTCTGGGATGGTGATTATTATATGTCTGGGTGTAGTTTTATTTTGGTTATGACTATTTGGAGTTCTATATGCTTCACCGATCCTGATGTCGGTTTCTGATCTCATGCTTGGGAAATTTTCAGCTATTACTTCTCTAAATATCCTCTTGACATCCTTTATGTTGTCTCCTTCTTTTTCATTAATCTCTATCATTCTTATGTTTTTTTTCTTTGCATCGTCTTGCAGTTGTTGAATTGTTGTTTCCTGATTCCTTGGTATTTTTAAAAGACCTTTCCTTTCCTGTTCACTAGCTGCAATCCTGTCTTCAAGGTCTGAAATTCTATCTTCACTTTCATTAAGGTGGTTTTTACAACTTTCAGTGGAGTTTTTTATTTCTTGTATATCTCTGTGCATCTGCATTATGTATTCTGTTTGTTTCTTAGATTGCTCATCTAGGGATTCTATCTTTTTGTTTAGTTCCTCCAATTTTTTATCTGTGTTTTCTTTAGATATATTCAGAATCTCTTTCATTTCTTTTATGATTTCTTCTTTTATCTGGGAGATTATTTCGTGTTTGAATTTCTTTAAAGCTTCCTGGAGTTGCTTGTTAATTTCAGTAGCTATTGTGTCCAATATTTGAGGTGAATGGCATATATTTTCTTCTATATACATTGCTCCTAGAGGTTCTTGAGATGGGCTGGAGGTTTGAGGCTGTAATTTGGTCTTTCCTTTTGTCATTTTCCTATATTTCTGTGTTTCAAGTGTTATTTGAAAGCTTCCTCAGGGTCTTTTGGAAATCCCCTTCTATGTTTGCAGCTACTGAGACTCTGGCACCACTCTACCCCAATTCACTGGGCCTGCAGAACCAATGGCCCTCCTCTGCCTGCTCAGAACTCCGCAGTTCCAGACAAGCTGGGCCTCAGGGACACTGTGCGCCCACCTGCCCCTCGGAAGCTCCACAGCTCTCCAATCACAGCCGGGATGTGGAAGCAGATGTAGATGCCTCAAACCCACCTCCCCACTTCACTGCACCTGGAAGCCTGGAGGGACCCAAACAGTCTGGGCTCTGGGCAGAGTGTGCTGAGCACTCACCACAGGCTGCAGGGCCTCCGGAACCCGGGATGCTCCACTGCCCGCCTAGACATCCACAGTCCTCCAGACACACAGGGAGGCAGATGCAGGCGCCCCAGATCCGCCCAGCCCCTCCTCTGCACACCGATGCCTAGGCGTGGCAGTCCGAAACAGGCTGGGCTCTGGAGATAGTGTGGGCCTGCCCACCCGTGAGAAGCTCAGCAGTTCTCCAAGTGCAGCCGGGATGGGGAGGCGGATGTAGAGGCCTCAAACCCACTTCTCCACTTCACTGCACCCGGAAGCTTGGAGGGTCTGGAACAGTCTGAGATTTGGGCAAAGTGTGCTGAGCACTCACCATAGGCCGCAGTGCCTCTGGAACCTGCGATCCCTCCCTGCTTGCTGAGATATCCACAGTCCTCCAGACACACGAGGAGGCTGATGCAGGCACCCCAGATCCGCCCAGCCCATCCTCTGCCAGTTCTATCCTTTTGAGCTCTGTCTTTCCCTTTCATTATTACAATATCTATGGTATATTTTGGATGTTATTACTCTTTCAGATTTTAATTTTTTAGTTTTTTATACAAAGGAGACAATACCAACCAAATTGTCCATCAACTGCATAATGGATTAAAAAAAGATGTGGTATTTTTATACAATGGAATATTTCTCGTCTATAAAAAAGGATAATTTTGAGGCTATTATAGGTAAATAGAAGCAACTTAAGACCATAATCGTAAGTGAAATCAATCCAACTCATATTTATAAAAGGATAATATTCTTTAAGTTATATAAAAAGGAACAGACTTTAATCAGTGGATATACTTTGCGCAGATCCAAAGAATAAAAAATAGTGCTTCCATTTTAATCTGGAATAACTAAAGGATTGTATTACCACTTGGAAAGGTGAGAAAATAATTTTGATATCAAGTTGTTGGTAGAAGAAAAAGCAATGATTTATTAAATTTCAGAAATTTTAAATTCAAAATGATGCTAAGAACAAAAAACCTTTCTCACTACAAAAATCTGAATTACTCAGCATAAACGGTTTGAACAAAAGTTACAAGTTTTCAAAAACAGATAACAGCTTAAGATCTTAAATTCTGTAGATTATCAGAAATAAAAGGGAAAATAGTGAAATAACCACATAGATAGCAAGGCTAAGGAGTCTGAGTAGGGATGGTGAGTTGGTCTAAAAGTCAAGAGTCATTTGTATCAGAGCCTGTAACTGGCATTGAGTTGGTTAATTTCTTAGGAAAGAAAATCCTTCCCTACAAAGCAGGATCTTAAACCTGAAATAGCCCCATAGCAAGAGTTTGAAGGATAAAGAACGACTGCTCATGGGATGTCTTTGCCAAATGTAACTAGCAGAGTTCACTCAGGCAATAATGGTGGGAAAGGGAACGTTTTTGGATAGGGTGAAAGAGAAAGAGACTAAGTCCTGAGACTGAGCCTATGCACAGGGCATGCTGTTGAGTTTTGTGAGAAGACAACAAAAGATGAAATGATATTCTCTAGAAGATATGTAAACATGAAAACCCACCTGCACCACAGAGAAGGAAAAATGGCAGTGCTCAAATTAATCATCTGCTCAGAAATTTCCTTAATCTGAGTTTAAGAGGACTGATTTTAGAATCTGGAAAAATAAAATAGCTAGTAACCAGCTGATAGTGTTGACACTCAGATTTTAACTTCATGATTCAACTTTATACTGCAATGAACTCTGTTAACATTGACCTGGGATTTTGGGACATGATTTTGTCTGGAAAAACTGCTTTGGAGGAGTGACTTAGTCTACAAATGGATGGCTGTGAGGTCAGCGCTGTGGAATCTCATGTGTTGCATTTTCACTGTAAACTTTACCAAGATAGAAACATCAGAGCCTTGTAAATAAATTAACATACTTTTGAGACTCTGGAGAAACTGATGAAAAATTTTTGAACCACAACCACCCTATGACTGTTGAAACCACAAAGCCAAAAATCACTGAATGTAACTCTAGCAGAAACCATGCAGGATATAAAATCTGGTAAAGTCAAATTCTTTGAATTTTAAGCATCTAGGCAGAAGTAGATTTGAGGTTTTATTGTTTTTAATCTTTTTCTATAACTTTCAAAGGATTGCTGTCTTTATAGTTTTGTTTCACTTCATAAATTTACTAATGAGATAGACTTGATATCCAGATTAAAATATTTCTATGTTTTGAGAGTTTTAATATTGGATTATCCTAGTATATTTTGCTACTACAGTACACTACTTTCATCTGAATGATAAATTTCTGATATGCTCTATTGACAATGTGTCTAATCAACATTTTCAAAGAGAAATAAAATAGGAAATGAATTTTTTCTTTATATTAAGTAAGTTTTCTGTTGCTGTGACAAAATACTCTACACTTGCAGATTAAAGAAAGAAAGGTTTGATTTGGTTGCAAGTTTGGGGATTTCATTCCTTGGTGAGCTGGTTCCAAGGCAGAGACAGCCTGGTAGAAAAGTGCAAAGGTGGGCAGATGCTTGCCTCATGGCACCCAAGAAACAGAGAGAAGAGAGGAACCAGGACAAGAATACAGCCCTGAACCCGTCTCCTAATAACACACTGAAGCACAGTCAAATAAAACCCACAAGGTTTTCATTGTAGGAACAGGACTCATAGAGTGAAAACAAACCTAATACTGGAAAAACTTGGATGGCTTTGTCTCTGATTGACTGTAGTCTTAACGGTCAACTTCATAGATAAGGAGAAAAAAAGTCACAGAGGGATCTAGGAAAGACTTCATTTTTCTGCTCTTCCATACTTATTATTAAAATAAGGTTTTGATAAACAAAATAGTACACTATTCAAAGATGGCAACTTATCCACCCTCAGAACCTATGGATTTGTCATCTTACATATGAAAAGGGGCATTTTAGGTATAATTTTGTTAAAAGTCTAGAGATCAAAAAAGATTATCCTCAGTTATTCAGAAGAGGCCAAAATAATCGCAATGTCTTCGTAAGTGAAATAAGGAGAAAGGTAGTATATGGGAGATTATAAATTAATTTACATTAAAGTGAAGCAAAGTTTGGAAAGAAGTATTTACAGGCTGGTTCTGGAGCTTCTAGTAGGTGGAAAAGGTGAAGAAACAGATCCTCTCACAGGCTCTTTAGACAGAATACAGCCCTGCTGGCATCTCGACGCCACAACACTCATTTCAAACTTCTGAGCTCTAAAATAGTAATGTAATATTTGTGTTACTTAAGCCACTTAGTTTGTGGCCATTTATTACAGTAGCATTAGAAGCTCAGGCAGGAGGAATCTTCTAGGAGTCCCTGCCACTTTCTAACCAAGCTTGTATCTCTTGGGAATGGGAATGCGTGGCTTGACTTTTACTTAGGAGGTAAAGCAAAACATTTTTTGCTTTTGCTCATTTTTTTCTTTTTCAGCATTTTGCCTGCACAAGGTCCTCCCTTGTAACTCATGGCATAAGAGTTTCTAGGCACATGTGTGTCCTAAAGCTGTGCAAGAATAGAATATCAGGGAGCGGGCCCATTTGGTTCTCCAATGTAGCCTTTATAAATTATTAAGATAGTACTTTGATATTACCTTTCCGTTTCCTTCTGATTTTTCTTTTAAAATGGAAGTATGAAAGTAGGCTGTGATTTGTTGAGATTGTGATGACTCTAAAAAACATGAAAGAGGAGGAAAAATATGTCAAATGTTGAAGGGCACATAGAAACTGGAGGAACAAATAAGTTGTGTTAAATTTGATAATGAGAAGTTTTATTATAAAGTATAATTGGGCTGCCACACCAACAGATTCAACAAACCCAGATTGAAAATATTCTTGAAAAAGATCCATCTGTACTGAACATGTATAGACTTTTCTCCTTGTCATTATTCATTGAACAATGAAGGGAAACAGCTATTTACACAGCGTTTTCACTGCAGTAGGTATTATTAGTACTCTGCATATAATTTCTTCTGTGGGGGTCTGAAATCAATTTTCTATGGATATCCAAGAATGAGTGTAATAAAAATATATTACTTTCAGTACAGAATTGCAACATCATATTGAATTAAGGAATATTAGAGTACTTACATTAAAGTCAAGCAAGATATGTATGATCCTTTATACAGTTATTATATAAAATAGTCCATAAGGTTTAACCAGCTTTACTAGACAATAATAAAGGTATAGAGTTGACAAAATATGACAAAATATTTTCAGATAAAAGCTTTTGCTCCTAAAGTTCAAGAAAAATGATTTAAAGAAATTATGGAAAGTAGGGAGGGGAGAGAAGGATGCAAAGAAAGAGAAAAGGAAAAGAATAGACAGAATAATGAAAGTAAGGCTTATATAAGTGAAAGGGGAGGAAGAGTTCAATGGAGAGGTGGGAAAAGGGAACAAAAGGATCAATATGTATCATGCACAGGTAAGGATTTCACATAATGAAGGTTATAAGTCAAGATGCTCTTCTAAGTTTGAAGATTCTTAGATATTTTGTGCTTGCAATTGACATGCAAAATATATATTGTCTCTTAATTTCGGTCATATTACTTGCATACTTTTCATTTTTAATTGCATTTCTGAGGAGTTCAGTACAATATTGCACGATAATGATCAGAAAGGAAATTTTTATATCATTCCTGACTTCAATAAGTACTAAGTGTATTATATCCATTTCATAGGTACTTTTGTCAAAGATGTTTCCTTTTATAAAATTGTGTTTATCAAGATATATATACTTTTTCATGTGATTTATTAACAGTTCATGAAGAATTATTGAAACAATATTTACTTATTTTCTCATTAGATTTCCATTTTCTGTCTTTGCCTGGCTTAGATATTTATGAGTTACTAACAAAGCTGAAAGAGTTTTCCTCAAACTATTTCTAAAACATATATAAAGAATGAGAATTATCTTTTACTTAATTTTCTGGTGAAAAAAGTAGCCTTTGATAATATTCAAACTTCTTAATATGGGCATGTCAGACTTATTTTGGCTATGAATGAATTTTATTGCATTACTAGTTGAAATTTCCATGTCTTTATTCTCTGATTAAGAGCTTGGATCTATTCTTGCACTGCTCCATTTTGTTTCATCTCTGTGTCCATCCAGAAAGGGTGCAGTACAGTTTCTTTAAAATTTCAACGACTTTGTTTACATCTCTTATCATTTTTGTATATCCACAATTCATTTATGACAGATTTATACACTTTTTCTTCGAGGAATTTTCTTTTGTTTATTTGAGGATCCTATCAGAATTATTTTAAGCTCATTCTATGTGTTCTTTATTTTTGTTTTGGCAACCTTAACTGCTGCCGCTTTCCTGGCTTCAAACAAAATGCCTCTTTAACTGTGTGATTTTAATTTCCATGATGGCTTTATGTAAGGTTTTTTTGGTCCACTTCTATCTCTGCATAGCTTTCCGTTTAGAATATTTAAGGCTGTTCCCCAGTCAGAAAGTGGGGGGCTGGGGATTTAGCTCAGCAGCCTGAGCGCCTGCCTAGCAGGTGTCAGGTCGTGAGTCCAAGCCCAGTACCAAAACAAAACAAACCAAAACCAGGAGGTAGATGTCATATGCTTGTCTGTGATACCTGTTTCCGTGGTGAAGGGACAGAAGATCCAGTGCTGAGATGACAAGCAGTTTGACACAGGTAATGACTGCTGGGATGTCTGCTTCTCTTCCATGGATGCAGTTTATATAAGTAGGCTCACTTACCTTCTTTTTATTTTTCTTTTCTGTTTTCTTTCTTTTCTTCTTTTTTATTTTTATGGAAAAACAAAAAACAAAATTTCAAAACAAAATAATGAGAGAATAATAATAGTTATAGTGTTACATGTTATCTTTAAAGTAGTTGCTCGGGGTACATGATGTGGGCATAGAAATTTCTTCAACTGGTATTAGCGCACACCTTCCTATTTTATGATCTAAGAGACACTAAGAATAACTCACTTGCATTTTTCTCTTTTCCCTGCTGTCTTTTCCCGTCACCCATCGTAGTTCCTTTTTCCTTTTGAACAATTTCTTTCCATTCCACAATGTCTATTGTATGTTTTAGACCGCATTTTACTCTTCAGCTTCTCACACCTGAGACAATACAGTATTGACACATGTGATACTAATTTATTTCACAAGTAAGTACAGTCTCGAGTTTTATTCTTTTAGTTATAAAGGTCTCAGGTTTATTCTTCTTTATATCTGAGCAGTACTCCATTGTATAAAAATGCCATTTCAGTTTTTTAATCCTTTTCTCAGTTGATGGGCATTTGGGTTGTTTCCAAGATTTACTTATTAAAAATTGTGTGACTATGTCCATGGGTGCATATATATTGCAGTGGTATTGTGTTTTTTATGTTTTAATTGCTATGATAAGATACCCAAAAGGCAAATAACTGGTTGAAATGGGACCTCTAGTTCTACTTCTTGATGAATCCTCACACTAATTTTCACATTGCTTGCACCAGTCTACACTCCCACCAACAGTGGAGAAGAGATCCTTTTACCCCATGGCTTCTCCAGCATTTGGTGTTGGTTGATTTCTTGATGACAGCTATTTTTCAGGGTATGAGATGGAATCTCAGTGTTTTAATTTGCATCTCTCAAATGATCAGTGATATTGAACATTTTGTCATATATTTATTTTCCATTTAAATGTCTTCATCTGATAAGTATGTATTCATCTCAGATGCCTATTTTTCATTGGGTCTTTGAATTTGGGGAGATGGATGTGTTTTAGTTTCTTTATGTGTTTTAGAAAGAAGTCTTTTATCTGAGGAACAAATGGCCAAATTTTTTCCTACTCTGTGGATTGTTTTATTACTCTTTTGGTGATTTCTTTTTCTGTCCCAAAGATTTTTAATAAGATGAGATCTCAGTTGTTGTTTTTTTATGTGTTTCCCTTATGGCACGAACTCTACCACCAACTACATCTTCAAGGTTTTTTACCTATTCTTTCTTCCAGAAGATTTAATGTTTCTGTTTTAATACTAGATCTTTGATCCATTTTTATTTCAGTGCATAGAGATAGACACAAATCTAGTTTTAGTCTTTCACACATGAAAATCCAGTTTTACCAGCACCATTTATAAAACAGGCTAATTTCCTTCTAGTCAGCATATTTGACCCATTTATAAAAGATCAGGTGTCTGAGAGGTTTGCAGTTATGTTCATCTTCTAATTTGTTCCACTAGTCCTTTGGTCTGCTTATTTGCCAGTATCATACTGATTCCATCACAGTAGCTTTGAGCATAATTTCAAGTCAGACATTGTAATGCGTCTGTCTTGCCTTTGTTGCCTAGCATTGCCTTTGCTATTCTAGATAAATTCTTGTTCCAAATGAATGTTCAGAGTGTTTTTTCTAGTTCTGTGAGGTATGCAAAGGGTATTCTGATTGGCATTGCATTAATTCTGTAGAACAATTTTGGGAATATGGCGATTTTCACTATCTGGTTCTTCTTATCTGAGCAAGGGATGTCTTTCCATTTTCTGATATTGTCTTTAATCTCTTTTTTCAGACTACTGTAATTTTCAACATACAAATATTTTACTTCCTTTGATTGATTGATTCTTAAATACTTTAGTTTTTGGATGCTATCGTGAAGGGTGTGTTTTCCCTAAATTCCCTCTCATTTGTGTACAGGAATGCTATTGAATCTTGAGTGTTAACTTCGATATCTAGCTACACTTCTGAATTTGGTTATTAAATCTAGAATAGATACCTGTGCTTTTTTCTGGATTCCTATTGCATGGAGAATTGTTTTTCATCCTTTGACTTTTAGTCTATAAATTTATTTTTGAAGTAAATGTATTTCTCGTATTCAGAATATTGTTAGATCTTATTTCTTGATCCATTCTGCTAGTCTGGTTTTTTTTATTGGTGAATAGAGGCCATTATTATTGAACTATGTAAGCTTGTCTTACTCATGTTATTTTCCTGCTGTTGGTTTCCTGTTTTTTCTCTCTGTTTAATTGCTTGTCGTGCTTGGTGGTTTGTTTCTGTTGTTGTTCTTAGAATTGTGGTCATTTTTAACTCTGCCTAAAATATTTTTAAGTTCCTTTTGTAGCGCTGGTTTGGTATTCATGAATTTCTTCACTTGTTGATTGTCATGGAAGTAACTTATTCTCCATTAATTTTGAAGAGTAGTCTTTTAGGATACATCAATCTGGGTTGGAAATTGTTTTCTGTCAAGATTTCAGATACTTCAAGCATTTTTTGACTTGAGGGTTTGGTTTTGTGAAGTCTGCCACGATTCTGATGAGCTTTCCTGGATAAGTGATCTGTTTCTTTTCTTAACAGATTTTAATATTCTGTTCTTGTGATGAATTTCTATAATCTTTATTATATATTTGGGTATGGTTTTATTTATAGATTTATTTTGGTTATAGCTAGTTGGACTTCTATATGCCTCACTTATGTAATGACATTGTATGTCACACTTACGACATGTACTTATGTCATTTGTGTTGAATCCTACTTTTTCATTGACACTAATCTAATATTATTTCTTTGAATCATCTTCAAGCCATTGAACTGTTATTTTCTGATCCTTTGTTACTTTCAAGAGATCTTTGCTTTCATGATCACTAGCTGCGATCCCGTCTTCAAGATATATAAGTCTGCCTTCAGTTTGATTCAAGCAGGTTTTCAAGCTTCCAGTGGAATTTTTTATTTCCCTGATATCTGTTTGAATCCATTTTATGTATTCTATTTTTCCTGTATTAGTCATTCACAGTTTCCATTTTCTTATCATCTATTATTTTTATCGATGTTTACTCTAGATTTGCTGAGCAATTCCTTTGTGAATGTTGACATTTCTTTGCCTGAATTTGTTTCTTTACTTTGCTTGCTACCATTGCAGAATTTTCAAGTGTGTCTCTTTCATTTTCCTCTAGCTCACTGGACTTGTTCTGGGTGGCTGCAAGTCTGAGGTTGTGTTTAACTTCTGTGTCTTGTCTTTTCCTATTTCCAAAGATTTATTTTGTTCTCAGTGATGATCTTTGTTAAACTTTTGTAGTTGGTAACTTTATTACTAGTGCCTAAGGCTCTCTAGGCAAAGTTTGTTCTTCGGGGATGTCTTCTTTCTGATGGAGGTTCTTGATTGGCATTTGTCCCAAGATCTTACCTTTCCAATTAATTAAGAGTGAGGGCCGCGCCTGGCCACAGGTCTGCAGAGGAGGAGCTGGGCAGATCTGGGGTGCCCTCACTGGCCTCTCTGCGTGTCTGGAGGACTCTGGATTTCTGCGCCCAGACTGCTGGAGTTCCCTCAGGCTTCCAGGTGCAGTGAAGGAGAGAGGTGGGTTTAAGGCTTCCACATCAGCCTCCCCATTCCCGGCTTCATTTGGAGACCTGCTGAGCTCCCAATAGGTGGGCTGGCCCACACTACCAGCCTAGCCCAGCCTGTTTAGCTGCCGCGCCTGGCCACAGGTCTGCAGAGGAGGAGCTGGGCAGATCTGGGGTGCCCTCACTGGCCTCTCTGCGTGTCTGGAGGACTCTGGATTTCTGCGCCCAGACTGCTGGAGTTCCCTCAGGCTTCCAGGTGCAGTGAAGGCGAGAGGTGGGTTTGAGGCTTCCACATTAGCCTCCCCATTCCAGGCTTCATTTGGAGACCTGCTGAGCTCCCGATAGGTGGGCTGGCCCACACAACCAGCCTAGCCCAGCCTGTTTAGCAGCCGTGCCTGGCCATAGGTCTGCAGAGGAGGAGCTGGGCAGATCTGGGGTGCCCTCACTGGCCTATCTGCGTGTCTGGAGGACTGTGGATATCTCTGCAACCAGGGAGGGTCCACAGGTTCCTGAAGCACTGCGGCCTGTGGTGAGTACCCTAACCCGGCTGCGATTGAAGAACTGTGGAGCTTCCAAGGGGCAGGTGGGCGCACAGTGTCCCTGAGGCCCAGCTTGTCTGGAACTGCGGAGTTCTGAGCAGGCAGAGGAGGGCCACTGGTTCTGTAGGCCTAATGGCTTGGAGTAGCGCGGCGCCAGAGTCCCAGTAGCTCCAAACATAGAAGGGGATTTTCCATTCCCTGATCATCTACAGACCTGTTCCCCTGTTCTGTTTCTCAACCACCATGAAGTTTGCCTTGGCACCAGGTGATAAGTGAAATCTCTGATATTATGAAATAGGTTAAAGTTCTTTAAGTTTTGTGTTTCACTGAGATACCATCTCACTCCTGAAAGAATGGCCAGAATCAAGAAAACCGACAACAAATGCTGGAGAGGCTGTGGGGAAAAAGGAACTCTCCTGCACTGCTGGTGGGAGTGTAGACTGGTGCAGCCTTTGTGGAGATCTGTCTGGAGATTTCTCAAAAAGTTGGGACTGGAAATCCCATTTATTCCAGCTATTCCACTTCTAGGCATATTCCCAGAAGAACTGAAAGCATCATACCACAGTGATATATGTGCACCTATGTTTATAGCAGCACAATCTGTAATTGCCAGATCTTGGAAACAACCCAAGTGCCCATCAACTGAGGAATGGATAAAAAAGTTGTGGTATTTCTATACAATGGAGTATTATTCAGCTATAAAGAAGGATCACATTGAGATATTTATCAATAAATGGGCACAGCTTGAGACCATACTCATAAGTGAAATAAATCAATCTCGCATGTGTGAATACCGAATAGTTTCCCTAATGTAAGTAATGATTCAAATATATAAAAATATGTGGTAATCATGATTCCCCATTAGGTGGCCTTGAAGCCTTATAAAGTTTTCACTCATTAATTAGAAAGGCTTTATTCTGGGCTTCTTGATATGAAAA